GGGTAGGGGATTGGGGAAAAAATAAAAACCAAGATATATTATGTAAAGGTATAAATTCCCAATGATGAATGTCGTCATATTGTATACCTAAAATGTACCGATAAACTTAACAAAAAACCCCAGAACACAAATAGCATATTTGAAAAAGCTGACAAATTCCACAAATGTCATAAAATCTAGGAAACTCGTAATTTTTAAAATTCATTTTTATTACATTCCCCCCACATTTCTCTTTTCTCTTCTTCCTTTTTCTAAGGTGTAGACCCATTGCTTCTTTATATAACAATCTTATAATATCATTTACTGTACAGAGATCAGGAGAATAATTCAGTTTTTCCCAAGCTTGATTGAATTTTTTCACATATCAGTAGTTTAGAGATTTCTTTCAGCTTCACAACTCATTGGTAATGTCATGCAAATTAAGATTACTGCCAAATTTGGAGAGTCTTCTATTACATTTCTTCCATTAGAAACTGAAAGATTTCAGGGCATTCCAAGGTGGCTTGTAAAATGACTAGTCTTAAAGAATCTTTAAATTGATGACATTCATTAACCAGCTTGTCATTAGTGGCTTCATCATGGTGGTGTAATATGAATTTTATGTTATCTTTGCAGTGAATATTTCATGTGAAACAGCAAGAAATTAAAATTGTTTCTTTTTGTTCATATGAATCTTACTTATTCATTGATTAGGTTATCAAATTATCCAAAGCCCATTCATTATTTTTAGTTAAAATTTTTCTCTTACTAAATTATTGTCCCACAATATTCCAAGAGTTGGTTTAAGTTACTTTTTTATATCAAGATAATTTCTGCCAACTTCAATTATCTCTGTTAGCACTTTTTGGTTCATATGCCTTTAAATTTTTATCTGAATGTTCTGCTTTTAAATAAGTACTCATGTTGCATACTTTGTCTTATTCTTGAATATATAAGTGACTCTTGGACTAGGAACACCTGTTTTGGGTCATTTTGTCTCTATGGCCAAGTGATTCAGTGGTACCTACAAGGCATGTGACTTTAGTACAGTTAGAAGCAAAGAAGCTGAATGAGTCACTCCCTTCTCTACACTCAACTGTAAACAACACCTTAATAGAGACAGTTATAGCTAAATTGATGCAGATTGAGGCCATACTCTCAAGTGAAATAAGTAGAACACACATGTGTAAATACTGAATACTTTCTCTGTTGTGAGAAACTGAAAGCATAAATGAGGATCAAAATGTATAATAGATGTGTGAAATAGGAAGAAAAGGTCCAAAGGGGAAGGGAAAGTGGGAGGGGTAGGGGAAAGAAAAGAAGGGAAAGGAATAAATATGAAAAAATGGAAACAAAGTCTTTGTAAATAGGGAGGAGTGGCGGGGGGCTTGAAGGGAAGTCAGGGGAATGGGGGAAAAAAGGAACTAAGATATATCATGTAAAGGTCCAAATTCCCAATGATGAATATCATCATACTGTAAACCTAAAATGTACCAATAAAGTTAATGAATATAAAAAGGAAAAAATAATCTAAAAACAGTAGTTACCCATCTTCTTTTTAAGGTGTAAAATACAGTAACAAAAGCCCAAGAGATTGCCATGCCCTAGGTAGCAGAGCACTGGCTCCAGTGAGAAATTCAGTAGGAAGCACCAAAAAGTCAGAGGTGTCTGGCCTTTTAAATTCTAAAAGCCTGAGTTGTCATGGCCCTTCTTCCCTTTTCCCTTTCCTCTGTTACTCCTGGTACCTTCCTGGTGATCTTTAATAAACACAGCTCCTTACTACTCACTACGAACTTTACAATGGCAATTCTTTCCTTGCCATACACAAGAACCTGGACTATTTTTGGTCCACTGAACTGTAACAACTTCACACACAAGCACTTGCTGTGTACGTATGTTCATATTGCCCACCCACAGGGATTCTGAAGCACTCTGTTTTGTATACTTCATATAAAAGTATGTATGAATCTTATTTACACTTTTAGTTTTTCACACCAGAGAAATTATTTGGTATTTACACGTGTGTCCTATTTCACTTAAGAGTATGGCCTCAATATGCATCCATTTAGCTATAAATGTCTCTAGTTTTTTGTTCTTTATGGCTGAGTAGTACTCCATTTTATAAAAAAAAACAACAAAAAAAACCACATCTTCTTTATCCAGTCTCCAGTTGATAGGCAATCGGGCTGTTTCCAAGCTTTAGCTATTACAAACTGTGCTGCTATGAGCATGCGTGAGAATATATCACTGTGGTGTGATTCTTTTAATTCTTTTGGGAAGATGCCCAACAGAGGGATAGCTGAGTCAAATGGGACTTCCAATCCTAGTTGTTTGAGGTATCTCCATAAGGATCAAAATGTATAATTGATATTGTGAAATAGGAAGAAAAGGTCTAAAGGATTAGATTAGGGGAAGTGGGAGGGGTAGGGGAAAGAAAATAAGGGAAAAGAAAAAATATGAGAAAAGGAAAAAAATGGAAACAAAGTCTTTGTAAACAGGGAAGGGTGGAGGGGGTAAAGGGAGGGCAGGGGGATGGGGAAAAATTAAGAACCAAGATCCATCATGTACAGGTACAAGATCCCAATGATGAATATAACTGTACTATATACCGAAAATGTACCAATAAAGTTAATAGAAAAAAAACGTATGTATGGTGCATTCATAATTGTGTGCACTGCATTATCAAGTTTGTTTCTGACAAGAGAGAATTTTCATTTTGTGCAGACATTGATGGGAATCAAATCCCCTGCTTACTACTTGTAAATTTGATGATTGGAAGAGTTTTCAGCAGACTAACCTGTTTATCCATCATTATCCACATATGGTACACTGGGCACTAAAGTATACATTCGTATTATTGTGTAACTTTTGTCCCTGGAATGGCCTGTAACACTTTACTGACAAAAGGGCTTGTAAACAAACATACAAACAAACAAAATATTCCAGTAATACAGTAAAATTCAATTGGAAGGAGAAGTTTTAAGCAATTGTGGTTAAAATGTTTTAATTTCCAAATTTACCAAAATACCTGTTTGTGCAAACACATTGCTGCTCTCCTAGAAGGTGCCCCTACAGACGAAGAAAGGTATGAATAAGCTTCATTACCTTCCTGGTAAATCTGCCTCTGCAGCATTTTGGTTCTATTGTGAATAAGTATTATTGATTGCATAATTAAGCTCTGGTTTCCTCCTGCTTAGAGAAGGTAGAAATGTGCAGGAAAGGAACATCTATCTAGTGTTCTGTGCAGAGGAGCAGAGTAAGAGACCACCTAATTTAGTCTTCCCTCTACCTCCATTTTCCCCATCTGGTGCCCCATCTCCATCTCTGGCTGCTCCACATTTTGAGCTTCCCAGCAGTTCTGCTGTGTCCATCTATTCTCCTCTTTCAGACTTCTCTTAGAACACTACGGTCATGGCTTCCACCTGGCTGAGTTGGTTACCATGCCTCCATCTGCTCCCTTACTACTTTAAATTTCACGTGCATCCTGGCTGCCCTAGCAGTTGATGTGCTACTCTAATAGGACCCACAATCCTAGCTCATCAAACAGAATTGTTTTTACCTTAGTCCTTGGAGTCAACATTTTTTTCTATTATGAATAAACATAATGGATCACCTTAGTATATTTTAGCTAGAAGGAAAAGATAACAAAGTATATAAAATCTACCAAATTATTAAACCCATTACCATTGCAAAGTAAATTAACAAAAGCTCATCTTCACTGTCATGTGTTCCTTTCTTTCTGTTCTTATGGGTTCATACTTTGCTTATTCTTTCTTATTTTAGAGAGATGCTAGAAATAAAAGAAATTATCTTTATTAGAATCATCTCTCCTGTGAGTACAAATCATGTTTCTAAGACTCTAATCCCATGTTTACTCCTTTGTTCTGGTCACAGAAGAGTTTGTACCAAATGTTGTTATAAGTCAGTCTTGCCCAATTGAACCTTCTGCTTGAAAATTTAAGTCTTCATGGCATGTAGGTCAGTTCACAAATCTTACCAGTCTCTCATTCAGTAATTCGATGTATTCTTTGGCCAAGTTCTGTGATTCTGCTGTTGTTTTTCATGGTAGTTATTCATCCTACTGCACTCTGCTACAAATTTCCTATAGCTTATACAAGTGGACAATGAACTCAAAATAGAACCTGAGAGAACTTTAGATTTCAGAACTAAGCAACTGAGCCTGTGAGATACCAACGACTAAATGTCTGCTAAGTAGTTGTTTATTAGACGCTTAGCTTTTGTTAGGCACAGCACTAAGAAGAAAGGATAAGGTCATTCAGAGGCTCAGAATCTGGCCTGTGTTGTCTCTCAAATATTCTTAGACTTACCACTGAAAACTGAACAGATGTAGTTATTTGTTCTTACTGTATATTGTTGGTACACTGGTTATAATTCTTAGCCATGATTTTAAAAAGTCAACCTCTAAACATGTGCCTAAAATTCTAAGGATTCACCAATTATTTCCTTACTTGCAATTCATTTTTACTAATCTTCAAGATAAACAAAATACCACAAAGTTTCATCTCATCTGCCCAACTATCATCACCTAAAATTACTTTCTTGTATAAAGTGTATAGAATTCACCCTGGGGCATGTATTTGGTTTTCCTGGAAATGAAAAACCAGTAAATAGAATTCCAACTCTATGAATTTCTCCTTGTTCAGAAATAATAGTGTACTCTGAGTCATTTGAAACCCTGGTGTGCTTTCATAGGAAGAGGTCCTATGTCTTGTCAGACTGACAGGGTGCAAGTTGAGCACCAAAGCACCCAGAAGAATTACAGCCAATTGATGATCATAAAGCCAAAAGATATACACCAAGAATAACCGAAGACAAAAGTGGCTGATTCCTTGAACTGCTGCACCAGCTCAAGACTACTTGTGCTAGACTCCCTAATTGATACTATGGGTTCATCTATGGATTCCCTGCTCTGATCACAGCCACACACTAGCTCCAACCCCACTCTGCCTTTTGTTTCCCCTCAGCCACCAGGCAACAGAGGAACCCAAGGACTCACTAACCTGGATGTAGACGAGGCCAGAGTCCCAGGAGAGAAGCAGAGGCCGGTATCTGATGGTTTTCCCATCTACTAACATAAGCAAGGACACACCTCAGCTCGGACGGTGCCACACATTGGGGTGTAGAGACAGAGGGGCCTGTGAAACAGGAGTGACAGATAATAAACCCACCGACCACAATCTAGGCAGAGAAAATCATGATTTGCTGGATTGCAAGGTTGCAGAACCTGGAAAGAAACAACTTATCCAAAAAGGTAAAGGGATTTTTTTTTATAAACTGCAATTTTCTTGTCCTCCTCCTCCTCCACGTTCTCCTTCTCCTTCTCCTCTTCCTCCTCCTCCTCCTCCTCCTTCTGATCCTTCTCCTTCTTGTTTTTCTTTCTTTTTCATTGTATTTGGGCGGTTCTCCTTTTCTTTTTTCTCCTTATTTTAATTCTTTTTTATTATTTTTCTTTTTCTCTATTTTGCTATCTTTTTATTGTTTGTTTTTTTCTGTTACATTTATCTAATACTATTAATTTCCTTTTACTCTTCAGTAGGATCTTTCAATTTTCTCTGATCCTTCTCATCTTCCAATGATTCATTTTTCAAATTTTACTTTTTAAATTTTCTGATACCTCACACCTTTAATTCTTGCTAGTGTAACCATTAAACTTTATGAATATTTAGATAGTAACTTGAATATATGGTATTACCTTTTAATACTGTTCTATTATTAGTGGAGGTATAATTGTTAAATTGTGTAGATATTTACTGTATGTCAATATTTTATTTGTATTACTGTCTATACTCTGATTTTGTTGCTATTGCCAAGGTGGGGTACTGTTACTATTAATTGGTTTTCTCTGTGTGCTAATATAGGGATTGGCTTTGTGTCATTAACAATACTGTGGTCCATTTCCTAAAAACTGTATATTTCCTTCCCAAATATACCAAGGTGGTTGTATCTTGAGACAGAGGTAAACCTATAGTTAGCTATACCAAAAGTGTATCACTGAAATGGAACGCAAACTAAAGAGGTCTCCATACTGGCAACAAAGTCCTCTACTGTAAACAACCAGCAAACTTTCACACAAAGCAAAAAATAAAAACATGAGAAAACAATGCAACAAAATCTGTGCAAAAACTCTCAAATCCCCCAAAGCTGGCCAATGGAGCATGGTGGGTGGGGGGAATATAAAACCACACAGCTGAATTATTTGAAGGGATACAGAAGAGATTTTTAAAAATTGATAAAATGCTTGACAAGTTCAAAGAAGATATAACTAAACAGATAATAGACCTAATAAACAAAACAATCAATGAGTCCTCAGAAGACATTAATAAAAAGATAGCTGAACCAAACAAAGTGACATAAAACATTAATGTCCAGTACAGAAAAGAATTAAAGTCCATGAAAAGGGACCAAAGGTAAACTCAAGTCCAAATAAATAACCTAATGATGTGCCTCAAGGTATTAGAAAAACAAGAATAATCCAAATGCAAAGCTAGTAAAAGGTTGGAAATTAGAAAGATCAGAGCAGAAATAAATGAAATTGAGACTATAGGAAAGTTGAACTAGTGAATAAATTTAAGCAATTTTTTCTCATTGTACTTGGGACAAACTTTAATATCCTTAACACAGTGGCATGTTTGTTCCCTTTAGGGGATGCTGTTAACCTTTATGAACCACTTTTCTGGGTAATATTTTTAAATAAATAACATAAAGTGTGTAGGGGTACAGAGGAAATAAATAGTTCTTCCAATAAGTCTACTGGGGGGTCTGTGGATCCCAGGTTGCAAACCACTGAAGGATCTCTCTCTCCCTCTCTCTCTCTCTCTCTCTCTCCCTCTCTCTCATCTTGAACTCAGAGCTTCAGAGACAATGGTTTTTTCTCTGCTTGGTCAAATAGCTAAATTCTTCCTGCCTTTGGTCCTTAGTTCATACTATTTCTTTTGTTTTTAGTGCCCCCTGACCCAGATAACACCTATTTGGTTTGAATGTCTCTTTACTGAGAAAATTCAACGATCCTCAGACTAGAGTAATTTCACTATTAAAATACCATATTATTCTGAAATTTTATTTTATTAAAGGAATATTTATAGTTCTATCTGTACCTATAAATGCCTGCCTGCATCACCAACCAGACAGTAATTTCTAGGAGAGCAGACTTCAATACCTATACTCACATCACCTGACATATAGTAAAAAAAGATAAATAGTTTTTTTAAAAATCATTTAAAAGTAGTTTTAGATTTACAGAAAAGTTGCAAGAACAGTATGGAGACTTATAATACACTCCATTTTCCTTTTTCTAAATATCTTATATTAGAATAGTTCACTTATCATAATCAACAAATTGTTTCATCATTAACTAAAGCTCAAACTTTACTCATATTTATTTGGTTTTCACCTAATGTTACCTTTCTGCTCCAGAATTCCACTGAAGATGTCATTTTCTGACTAGTCATCGTGTTTTCTTAGGCTTCTATGGGCTGTGATCATTTCTCAGACTATTTTTTTTAATAACCTTAATAGTCCTAAGGAGCACTGTTCACAAATTTTGTTGAATGTCCCTCAATATAGATTTGCTGGGTGTTTCTCTCTTGAGTAGTCTGTAGTTACGGGTTTTGTGGGAGGAAGCCCACAGGGTGCTGTCATTCTTATCATAGTTTGTCAAGGTAACAGACTGTCAACATGACCTTTCACTGTTGAGGCTAACCTTGCCCATCTGACTGAGGTAGGTTTTTCAGGTTTCTCCACTAAAAAAGTTCCTTTTTTTCCTTTTGCATACTACTCTTTTTGGAAGGAAGTTACAATGTGCAGCCCACATGTAAGTGGTAGGGAATTACACTACCTCGCAGAGGAGTTAAACACACACATACATACATTATTTGGATTATTTTTTCTACAAGGAACCTTTGTCTATTCTCTTCTACATTTTTATTTATTCATTTATTTATAACAGTATAAACTCATGGTTACTTATTTGATACTTTGCATTATAATACAATCCAACTATACTTACTTTTTTTCTCAAATTGTTCTAGCTTTGGCAGTTAGGAGCTGTTTTAGTAGCCAACTGTGTCCCTTTGACATAATCATCATTGTGTGTGTGTTTGGTATTTTCCCAGGTACTTTCTCATTTCCTGGAAGAATAAGGTACCCTAGGCTCATCATGTATATTTCCTGATCTAATCTTAGAAATGGCCATTTTCCAAGAAGTTCTGGTTGCTTTCACTGTAGAATTAGACTAGAAAATATGATTTGGCACTGGAGTGTTCATTTTTACTTGGGGACAAAGGTCATTCATTAGTTCTAAGTGCTTTCAGCTGACAGATCAAGGAAGCATGTTTGCTACTAAACCACGTATACATACACATCGGTAAATATTTTTATCTTGACCTTCCTTATGTGTATTGATATAGCATGAATTCACACTGATGTCTCCAATTCTAATCCATTACTACAGGATTGTTCTACCTCCTCCCCTTGCTTATGTGTTACTTCCCACTGTAAGAGTGAGAAACCCAGCTTCTACATCTATTCATTTCCTTCATGCTTCAATTCCATTACATATGTATAGTGGCTTTGGAATTATTAATCCATACACCATGAGGAAAATTTTATTAATTGGATGGCAGTCCTTACACAAAGTTCTTTTTTCTTTTAGTCTTACAGATTTTAATCATTTTCAAAATCACTTGGGCAGCACCTTTTTTCCTTTACCCTCTTTAGTGTGGTTGCTTCATATATTTTTAATATGCTTAGTTTCTCTTGTCATATATTACATTCTATCCTGGGTCCTCCCTGACCCCCTAAATGATTTTTAAAATTCGCATACATTGCTATGCACTTACTGCAAAGTTCTACAGATTTTAACAAATATGTAATGTCATGTGTCCACCATAGTTTCATCATCTTAAAAATTACCCATGTAATTTTCCCTTCTTCCCATACTCTGGGTCTCTCAATGTTTGTTTGTTATCTCTACAATTTTGCCTTTCCTAGGCTGTCACAAACATGAAGTCATATGATAGGTACCCATTTCAGAGTTGCTTCTTTTACCTAACAAAAGACAGTAGAGATTTGTCCATGTCTTTGCACTGCATGAGAGCATATTCCTTTTTATCCCTAAATAGCATTCTATTGTATGTATGGACCACAAATTGACTACTCATTCACTTGCTGGGACATATCTTGGTGCTTCTATTCTGAGTGATTGTAAATAAATCTGCTATAAATATTCTTGTGCATGCTTTTATGTGAACATATGTTTTCAAAGCAATAGAATAAGCACTAAGAGCATGCTTGCTGTGCTATATGCTAAGACTATATTCTGATTTTTAAAAAAAGCAAAAACCACTAGACTATCTTCCAAAGTGGCCACATCAACACATTTAAATAACACATTTTTAAATAAAAGTTATTCTGGTGGCAATATAGAGTGTTAAAGGAATAAAAAGTTGGAGGTTGAATTTAGCTCAGAAAGTGTGCTACAATGGTTCTGGCAGACATCAAATATCTGGAACAAGGAACAGTTGAAAGGGTAGAGTGTCTCCCAGCTCCCAGTTCTTCATGCTCTTAAAAACTTGAAGGTGTAGACTCCAAAGGTAGATCAGCAACTTGATTTGAGATTATCATAATGTAGCATGGCTCCCAGACATCTGGTTCAGGTAAATTAGTAAATGGGAACAGAGAAGGAGGAAACTTGGGAGGAGTGAGAATTTGGGGAACATTTCAATCATTACAAGTCTGAGTTGTCTGGTCAAATTTCTCCAAGTGTGGGACTTGCCAGAGGAATATCCTTAGAAATTGTGTATGAGTCCTGAAGTCAGAAATCAAACCTGTTTATCAGGCTAGATAGAAATAAAATTACTCACAGTTGTAAAGGGACCTGTAGTAAATTTTGACTTAGTAACCTGTCAATTTTAGTTTAAGAACCATAGTTTCCATTAAACTCAAATCTTTGCCATGAAATGTATTTGTCTATTAAGTGACAGTGGCTTCACAATGAAGATAGATATCTACATTTCCATCCTTCTGTGCATGGTTGCTAAATTATTCTGCCTGCCAACCTGTATAATTCAACTTCCATTCACCAACTATATTCTGAATATTTCTTCAGATTACCAATATTGTTGCATTTCAGAACCAA